GGGGCTCAGCCCAACTTGCATGATCGGACGGCTGTGATTTCATAATTTAAAATAGCTGACGCGGCCGGGCTGCGGAACCGCCATGTCGCGCTCTCCGGATGTGCAGGGTTTCAGGCGCACGAACGAGAGACCACGTGATAGGTTTAGCAGAACAAATAATAGTTCTTCGTGCCATCGAACTCCAAAAGCCGTCGGAAACTTGCAATCGATACGTTCCATAGCTGAACAGCGCTGAACGTTACCGAGGTCCCGTTCGCTGGATTAAATCCGCTTAACTGAGTGGCCCAGTCTGAAGCGCCACTTTACGGTATCCCAAATCCAAACTACCCGGTTAAAAGCGACAGCTCGTTTTTTGCAAAAAAAACCGAGCTAAAAATTCCCCGGCATGGTACGGTACCGTGCGTAGGTCCCATAGCCGCGCGGGCCGGCGCGGTACCCGGGCCGTCTTTACTGGCACTGACCGAGTCCCAGCGGAATCACTAAGATCGAAACTGCGCGCGCATAGTGCCGGTTCTGTACTGCGCCTAAGTTGATTCAGGAGCGGCCCGGCACTTCGATAACGGTGCAATTCTACGTCGGTTCGACCTCGTACCAGGGGTCGCCACAGGTTTTCGAAAATGTCGGCTCAAAGCCGACTCCCTTGTAAATTCTCGCCTATATTTTGGGGTACTTGTCGGCTTCTCGCTTTGGCCCCTGCCTCCGGTGTCGGCTTCGAGCCGGGTACTTCTTAATTTTGTCGGCTTTTCGGAAATTTCAATGTCCCGGGGATCACGGTTAGTCGGCTTGTGCCGACCCCTGCCTCGTATGTACCTACTTGGATACCCGGATGTGCTCGAGCTAGATGTGCAGAATGCAGGCTACAGGCTACAGCTCGATTCCGGGTCAACGAAGAGCTCATCGATATGACCGGTGGAAGAGGAGATGCGCTAAATGCGGCCCGGTGGATTCTCCACCGTTACCACCTTTCGCGCGGCGCCGGCCGCCGTTTGTGGCCAGAAGAAAATACGCAGGAACTTTACTCCAGCTAACTCTGCTCCAGCTAATTCCTGGCCGATTTCTTGAGCCAGCGTGGCAATACTTTTACGGTACCCCGGGCAGGGGTTGCACCGAGAAACACGTACCGAGCATGGAGAAATCTGCGTACCGAGTGCTCCTGTCGCCGATGAGTCAGAGGGGTTAAGGCTTGGTTTAAGGGAGTTGAAGCAGCGGTCTACAGTATATCATGTGAAGGACTGGAATCTGGATGTTGATACTAACCATGTGTACCGGTACCTATTTCACGTCGATCTTGCTCGCGCTCGAGCCTCGGGGTCTTCCATTTCATCCCCGGTGATTTGGAGTCTCGTCGGTCCTAAGAACTGGGACCTAAGAATCCATCTGGGCACTGGAGTATGCCCAGGTAGGACTGCTCGGCAATAGGTACGGTACCCCGATACCGTGGCTCTACGGTACTTCTGTGCAACGCAAGTCAAGAATGTTGGGACACTGAACCGGAAAAGTGGCACGGTTGGTCCGGCCAGGCTCATGTCTGGCCCCTGGGTACCTACCCCTAAGGTTTGACTGCTGACCTCACATCCAATCGCAAGAAAGCATATTGCCACGCTGGCTTAGTTCTGTCCACGTCGGACCTTTGGAATCGGGCCGGAGTTAGCTGGATCGGACTTCGCTGGAGTAAAGTTCCTGAGTATCAGAAAAATCTAGGTATGGACAGCTGAGCCTGCGTTTTGTTTGCTGTTCGGAAACGTGACCGGTTGACCACCGCCCGGTCATAGTGGCCTATCTATAAGGACTAGTAGACGACCGGCAAAATAATATGGCCATATAAGCTCTAAGTGTCCCGGTTGGAGACTTCCCCCGGGGCCCGTATCAGGGTGATGCGAGGAAGAAGCTTGCTGGGAGTCTTGGAAGTCTTGAAAGTCTTGATTCCAAGGTTTGATGACTCGGGCTGCCTTTTGTATCGATCATAATAGGTACAATGCTGTGATAGATGCTGCATGGCATAATTCGCCACCAAATCAATCGCCACATTTGCTACAGGCGATCTCGATTGCCGACGGCATGCATGCTGTTGGTGTTTCATGCTGAATTGCAGAAAGCGCGAGCTCTGTGCAATGTTTGTTGAAGGAGACTCTTCTCGCCTGCTGCATTTTGTGGACTAGGACTGCGTGCTTACGGAGAAGCCCATCGAAGGACTCAATTGCACAGGGGGAATCGCATCTCTTGGATGATCAGGTAAACCATACCAGCTGACGCCTTTATTCAATGCTGTTCGGTATGTTTAAAGATGTCACCTGTCAAAGTTTCTTCATTTCATTTTCATGACAATCTCGTGCAATTGGTTGATTCCACCGCAAATTCTCCTCAAGCTCCAGTTTATTTTTGATCTCAGCTTTGTAAGGCTGCGACCATAATTGTTGGCTTCTCAGGTGTTGGATATGCAACGGCTGTGTGGATCCCAGGTGTCGGACTTTCTGCTCTAAGATGATGGATTGCCAGCAAATTGAGAGCTGTTGCAAACCATTCCTTGTTCATGGTGGCGATGTTGATTTAACCAATAAAAGTTCCTACTTGTTGGACTGTTTGTGTTGACTTCTCATTGAACGCTGAGTAATATCCAGTCCCTTTTCTCCAAAACCCCCTTTTTAATGGCTTCAGGGAAGGCGCTTTTGAAGGGCGTCTCGAAGGGATCCTCAGCTCCATAGCCGGATCGAAACATAATTTGAGACACCATCAGTACCACCTGTCTTAACATTCTCCCTTTACAATCTCCACGATCATAAAAACTCATGTACGTCTTAAATTTCTCGGCAGGTGCTGCGGTTTGTGATCCGATGGAGGCAATCACGCTGCAGTCTAGTTTCTTTAGCTCCTGCGTCGGAGCGAAGACATCCCTAGACCTACGATCTCGACACAGGGCAGCAAACCGAAATGTTCGTTCGACGCCAGTGACGGCGGCCGTGCGCAAGTCTCCAAATGCAGACGCACACCGTCGGGCTCTGAGTGGCCCCAAGAGGATTGGGGTCTCAGGGGGGCGGAGGGCAATTCATAGATGTTCGACGCCCGTCGGGCAGTCGGGGCCGTCGGTTTCCTCCGACACCGAAAAGACGGTGTCAAAACAGGAGGGCAACAGCACGTCGCAGAACGGCAGTGAGCGGCCGCTTTCGCCGACCACGACGCTGTTTTCGTTCGATGAGCCTGATGATGACGATGACCACGACAGCAGCGATTCGGATACGAAAGCAAAGAAAGATAAGAAAGAGAAGAAGGAGAAGAAGGAGGAAGTAGCTATGGAGGGGATGCCAAAGGAGGCGATTGTGGCGATCAAGGAGAAGGTCAGCGCGCTGGAATCAGAAGTGGAGGCGGAACGGCAGCGGGCCAAGGTGCTCAAAGATCAGGTGAGGGGTGGGGGACTGGGAGCAATCGTGGCAGGTTACAAGGTTGTCTCCATGTTGTTGCAAATGGTTAGCAAGTCTCTTGCATGTGCACTATCAGGCATGAGCAGTATCTCAAAAAGGTCGGGCTTTTAGTCTCTTCTCATTGAGTAGCCATCTCTTGGCTTTTGTCATCAAAGTTGTGCAGCCTAGCTGCACCCGCAATCTCTGTCTTGTCTCCGGTGGAGCATCTGCAATTGACCGATGCACCACTAAGTCCTTTGTTTTTTCCAATACGTTTTCCGCCCTCTCCAGGAAAAGATCAAGTCGGTGGTCAAGGCAGAAGCCATCAGAGTTAGGGAGAAGGTGGTGGCCGCAATGCAGATATACCTTCTCGGCAAGGCCCACTTCAAAATCCGTTTCAAAGCACTTACTTCGTTGTTTCCTTCTCACCAGGTTGTCGCCCTCTCCAAGGAGAGAACCAAGTCGGTGGTCAAGGAGGAAGCCATCAAGGTCGCGAGAAGGCCGCAGCGACGGTCTCAGTTAAACGAATGCGGTTATAGTACTCATCTGGTCCTTTTCTTGTCACCAGGTTGTCGCCCTGTCCAAGGAGAAGACCAAGTCGGTGGTCAAGGAAGAAGCCATCAAGGTCGCAGAGAAGGCCGCAGCGGCGGTCTCCGCGTGCCCCCTCGGCGAGGACCTGCACGAGAACGAGGGCCTGATGCCACCTCACCGCCAGGAGGGCCTCCTCGCTGACGTCAGCGGGCTCAAGATGGAGACGATGGTGCTGGCGGACGCGGTGTACAACAAGGAGCTGAGCTGGCTCGCGTTCAACTGGCGCGTGCTCTACATGGCGGTCATGCCATCGACACCGATCTTTGAGGTGAGGGAAGGGAGAACCTTGGATTGGATTACTGCGCTTCCAGTTCTTGACTTGGCCGTGTTGACGGTTAGAGAAACGGCAGGGGAAAGCGGATCGAAGCATGGCATTTGGGCAGCTGGCTGAAGGCAGATGCGCCTCATTGCAAGAAATGTGAAGCCAAGATGAAGCGTTCGGTGCGCATCTGTTTCGTGTCTTTGCTTGGGGCACGACAATTGGCTGAATGCACGACGAATGCAGAAAAGGGAGGACTGATCCTGATGGTGGACTCACTTCATGCTCTGAGTGCCTGTCAATCCTGCAAGCCATCCGCCAACGGCAAATAGCACGAACTAGGGAGCTTGATCGGACATGATAGCCTGGTTCGGTGACAGCGGTTTTGCCAAGGGATCACAGAGTTGATCCATCACAGCGTTCGGAGAGGTCTTGTGGAAATCCGGAGAGTAACAAAGTGCGCAAACAACATGTCCCCGTCACTTTGATTGCAGCGCCTGCGGTTCTTGGCGATCACAGCCCGCAACCTCGACGAGTTCTTCGGCAAGCGTGTCGGCGGTCTGAAGCGCCAGGCAGCCGCGGGAACGGCGAACCTCATTGGGGAGCGGCGCGAGCTCATGTGGTCGCCCAATCAGCAACTTAAGTTCGTCACCAAGTAAGCGCAGCATTGCAATTTCGAGGCTTCGTTACGAACGGTGGGGCTGTACTTAGCGGCATTACTTAGGTGCTGAATGAGTAAATGATGTGAAATGGCATTTGGCATATACTGTCCCGTCATGGGTCGGGATATCCCGGCATCCGCCCAACCAGCAGCTCAAAATCTGTCAGCATTTAAGCGAAGCATGTCAGTTTTTGGGGTTTTTCTACATTTGACCTATCGCCGGTTGAGTTTCCCGTACTGGACCCGTGTCGCTTAGTCGCTGATTACTGCCGGACGTTGTTTGAGCCGCAGGCTAGAGGTTCTCCAGACATGGGCTGCAATATTTCATTTCTCGTGCACAGAGACGTCTTCTGTTTGCACACAGACCTTGATTTCCACCTGGCACCTAAATACCGCATGTTTCCTTCTTGTCCTTCCGGCCAAACATTCCAATCTTTATAAGGTGGTTCTATCCGCCCAAAGTAGTAAACGCCTCGGCGCGAACCCGCTGAGCAAAGAGGTTCCGACCAATTTCTGAAGGTCAGATCGCCGTCCCGTAGAATCTCTGTGCTGCTTATTCTTGAACCTTGGGTCTAGAGTCCAGCAAGTCACCCTTTCCGCCTTGCACAAAAACCTCAACTGTACGTTCAGGTCAGATTGCATCCGAACTTTAGCAGGAGATCTCCTCTTCGTTTTGATCTTGGCTCTCAAGCACACTCAAGCTGGGCTCTCTGCGCTGCAGGGAGGTGTCGACGATGGTCGACGTTCAGATCAACACGCTCCTCAAGGATGTTTTGCCGGAGCTAGCCCAGCAGGGCATCCGGCTGCTCGACTATGGAGAGCTGGACCACGCGCAAAAGTCCAAGGTAGAGGCCTTCTTTATTCTGGATCACCGTCTGAGATTAGGGGTTTGCTATTTTCTTAGACAGCGCTAGAGTATGCTTACTTGAGCTTTTAATTCGACCTCGTTCCAGAGGTGTGTCCGAGGGCGTTGCTAATTCTTAAATTGGAAACCTGAAGAGATCTGAAAGGTCCTTGAATTTACAACATCAAAGAAGTGTGCACTCAAAGTTCCAGGAGCGTACGATCTTGATTCTTATTTCCGGTGTCCCGAATCCGTCTCACCAGAAGGCACTGAAAACAACTGAGCGTAAACCTCGCATATCTCTGCTGTGCAGATGCGCAAGTACTTCAAGTCGGCGCTGGAGCCCGTGCTGACGCCCCTGGCTGTGGACCCAGGCCATCCCTTCCCCTTCATCGGCAACATGACCCTCAGCATCGCAGTCGTGAGTGCACGCTCGTAAACTTGCTGGACTCTGGGTCCGGCTAGTCCACGTTGCAACATGACCCTCAGCATTACAGTTGTGAGTGTACGCTCGTAAACTATCGGTCCGGCTAGTTGCTGGGGTTTGCTTTTGGGGACGCGGGAAGAGTCTGTCCTGAAACAAGGGTGGACAAACTGTTGTTTTGTTGAGTAAAGCATTGCAGGACAGGAGAGTTGTCAAGCCCCGAACATCGTTTTTCAATTGACGGAGAACATGGAATGGTAACAGTGGGTTACTAGAACCTTGCCTCCCTCTCCTCGAGTCGCAACCACCTCTACACGATCTTGGACCGTTCAAGCCGGCTGAGTCGAACGGCTCAAGATCATGTAGCCAGGGATCTATTCGCTTTTGAGCGTGACAAATTTCACGCATACAGCTGTTGGTCTACTAAGTGAATATCTAGGTCTTACAAGTTCGTGTCCTCGATTGGGAGGTACAGCGCTTCACCATGTTGAGAAAGCACTCCTTGTCAGCGTTTGGTTTGACAGTCACATCTTACTGACTCGCAGACCCTCCGTGACCCGATCGATGAGGACACCGAATTTGCGATCGTCAACGTCCCCACCGGAGTGGACCGCTTCATTCGGCTGGCACAAGACGACAACCCGTGAGTGGCTACCGAAAGCATTTTACTGTCTCCAAAAGCATCCGGCTTTTTGAAAAAGAACCGTCCGGGATGTTTTGATCATGAAATTCCACCGTTGGGAGGGAAGAGGTGATTGCCGCAGCTGCGTGGGAGCAGGATTCGTTTTGGAAGTGGAGGCTGCCCCAGGTGTCATCAAACGAAACACTTCTCTTATCCCGTATGTCATTCATTACCAATCTGCTTAATACGAAATACGAGAAGTTAGGAAATACAAATCACCGATCACACACATTCGGTGATCAGGCAAGTGTGTGATCCGTGTATTTCTCGTCAACCTGCGTGGCATCCCTCCGTGTGGCTTGTGGAGTACGGGCTTCGTACCAGATTTTCTTTCGGCACCACCTCTCCCCGAATACTCTACATCCGAACCGCAGATTTCCGCTTATGAACCGATTCAAGATTGTCTGTTGGTCCAAGAGGCGATTCTTAGTCACTGCGCGCCCAAGCTCAAGTCGTCAACTACGCAAGTCATCCTTCCACAGCTGTAGGAATCCAACGCCACAACCGGTTCATTACAAAGCGCTTAATCACGTTACAAATCGGTCTCCTTTTCTCTGTAGGGCAATGCGCAACACGTTCGTTTGCCTGGAGCAGGTCATCATCCACAACCTGGGCGAGCTGTTTGGCGGCATGCAGATCGTCGCGGCGCACGTGTTCCGTGTGACGCGAAACGCTGACGTGGCGCGCAACGAGGAGGAGGCGGAGGACCTCTTGGAGATGATCACGGATGAGGTAAGACCCATAATGATTCGAGTCCGCAAATCCTGAAGTCATGCAATGTTCTTCTATCTTCTCGGGAATCAATGAACGGTAATCTCAAATTCCCCTTACAAGCTTCCTCACGTTACTTCATTCGGGACTGTCAGGGATTTAAAAGGATCCGTTTTGCTCGAGACAGAGTCAGCACCTTTACTCGCATCGGGAAACCTCGAACTTATGTTCCTGCCAGATGCGCGTGCGCAGGAAGCAATGAAGGCCGTTTGTGACCCTCGTCGACCCTCGATGGGCAGGCACAAATTGCGCCAACTGGGAAGAATCTCACCCACCTTGACCCCATCTTCAGTGTTGCTCTAGCGCCAATGCGCAAGATTCCGCCGGTTCGTGTGCCCGCCGTTCTCTGGTTTGCGAAAGCAGCAAAACCAGAGTCACAGCTTCGCAAAGATAGCATAGAGCCAGTCTGATGATTTCACCTTGGCCGTCAGCCACAGCCCACAGAAGAGGAGGAAGTTGAACTGCCGCTTCTGGAGCCCCTCCTCGCTGCTCATGGTGGCTCCAAGGGAAAGGATCGGCGCGGCACGCTAACAGTTCCGCGAAACCCTCTTTCTTGTAGATGCGCGAGCGCAAGTTTGCGCCGTTTGTGCGGTTGGAGGTGGACTGCGAGATGCCGGTCGACATGCAGCAGCGCCTCACGGAGGAGCTCCAGCTGTCGCGCGACGACGTCTACCGCGTGTGCGGGCCCATGGCGCTCGGAGGTGCGCGTCTCAAACTGTTCGCTCTGATTATCACGCGTATAAGATTGCTTGAGTTGTTCATAGACCGTATGAGATTGCTTGATCTAGTTTCTGAGCATCTGCAGGCCCATGGCGCAGGACGTGCACGTCTGAATACGTTCGCTCTGGGTCTCAAACGTATCAGTTTACTCAATTCAATTCCTGAGCGTTTAAAGCTGCTCGATTTAGTCTCTGAGCATGCAGACCCATACGCTCGGAGGTGCGCATCTATAATGGTGCGCTCTAGTTCCTGAGCGTCCGAAAATGCTTTGGTCTACTTGTTGAGCGTCCGTGATTGGTTCAAATCAGTTTTCGAGCGTCCGACAGTGTCCAGGACTTGCCCTTTGTGCATACAGGAAGTTAGAACGTCGAAATTAACTCAGCTTGAACCGCTTGTACCGTCGCTGCTGGGCTGAGAGCGCTTGGAGATGAGTGGAACCTGTCCGACAATTTTTGGGCTTAATTTGAAGGCGTCTTGGACAGGCTAACCTTGATTACGTACTCTCATGTGCAGTACCGGGCATTTCAGGGTTTAATTAGGGTCTACTCGGGGTATCGGAAGCTGATTGTGCCTGTCGGTAGCTGTCCCAATGTTTCCAATACTCGGCTTAATCCGCTAAAAAGGGGCTAACCTGCTACGGAGTTAATCAGAAAGGTGTGGGGAGTCCTTTCCGGGTCGAATTACATTGTCTTTGCGGCCCAACATATCTTGAGCCGTCGGACAATGCTTCAGCGCTCGGACTCGCGCTCTCTCTACGTTCTTCAACCTAAGCGTCGGTGTTTGCTTTCGCAGCCCTTAAGCCATCGATCTGTCAGCCGATAATTCAACTTGGACTTACACTGACATTACATCAACGCTCCTATGGAGCCTAAGAAACACATCTTCCAATCTAATCGTACGGGGTTTTGCCTCCCCTTCCCTGCAGAGCTCGACTCGATACCGGTCCAGTTCGGCGGCCAGTTCGGCATGGACTCGTCCCTCCAGTTCACGCAATGGTCGCCGCTCACCCACACCCGCCTGGCCGGGGGCGACATCTTTGACACCATCCGGAGGGGCGACGTTTTGGTACACCACCCGTACCATTCGTTCGCCACGTCGACCCAGCACTTCGTCGAGACCGCCGCGCGGGACCCGAAAGTGGTGGCGATCAAGGCGACGCTGTACCGGACGAACAGCGACAGCCCCGTGATCCGGGCGCTGGAGATCGCTGCCGAGATGGGGAAGCAGGTGAGGGGGGGAACTCAAAGTAGATCATTGAGCCCCCCAGAAAGTAGAGATACTTCGGGGGATGAGATCATGTGGTAATTATTCCCCCGTCACGAATTGACACTGTACCGGACCAACAGCGACAGCCCCGTGATCCGCGCACTGGAGATCGCGGCCGAGATGGGGAAGCAAGTAAGGACGGGTCTTATGTCTAGACCTGAAGTTTGGGTAGGATGGTTCTACGTAGCGTATGGTCAAGCCCGGGTAACGGCTAGGGTTAGTTTGGGGGTTAAAGTGGGTATGGGGCGCAGCGGGTACATATGTCGGTTTAAATTTCAACTACCTTTTTCCCCGGGGACTGTTGCTATCCTACCCAGACACTATCCCACCGTAAGTGGGAGGGGTAGTTCTTTTTTCGCCTTTCTGCTAAGCCCCCTATCTCCCGTTCTAGTCGCCAGGATCGATGTAGGCCGTGGAGATTGACATAATGGAGGATTCGAGCCCCTCGATGTGTGTCGCCCCAGGAACGAGGCTGTCAAGGCAAGTTCGACACTTCGTTCTAAATCTTGGCATTGCGACCGATTATTTGAAGCAGGGCTTCTCTTTCTCTGGCCCGCTTCAATGAGGACCGCAACGTAGGCTCCAATGAAGTTCTGCTAAAGGAGAGTTGTAAAGCATCTTCACCTTCAGCCGCGCCGAGTCACTCAGGGGCCCTGTTTTCGCCGACGGTTTCTCTCCTCCCCATAAATCGCCGTGCTGGTCGATCTCAAGTCCTGCGTAAACGATGCCCGCACTGCAACTCTCGCCTAAAGGCCCCCGAAAAGAGGACGGAAAGACCCATTCTGGCTGAGTGATTCACAGGCCCTGTTTTTGCTAACGCCTTCTTCCTCCCCGCAGGTCGCCGTGCTGTTTGAGCTCGAGTCCCGCTTCAACAAGACCCCGCACTGCACGTTTCGCTCAAAGTCTTAAGAAGCCACGGCGCTTTCATTCCGGCCAGGTATTCCAGAGGCCCTGCTTTTGCTAACGCCTTCTTCCTCCCCGCAGGTCGCCGTGCTGGTGGAGCTCAAGGCCCGCTTCGACGAGGCCCGCAACGTCGGCTTTGCGCAGAAGCTCGAGGACGCGGGCTGCAACGTGGCGTACGGTCTTGTGGGCCTCAAAACGCACTGCAAGTGCACCATGGTCGTCCGCCAGGTGAATCTCCGTTTACTTTTCCAATTCCAAATCAGAGAGCACTTTCTTTCGTTCGTAGATTCCTCTGTCGTGAGGCTTGAGGCTTCAATATTGTACTGTGGCTTTCTTAGACAGCATGATTGATCGAGGCCAGAGAACAGTGATGTTACAATCCAGATATCACCAAGACAAACGTTTACACGCTCCGAACCTGTACATCCCCTTACCCTTCTAAGCAACCCCACCCGTTCCACTTACTAATCATTGACTCGATTGAGATGTGCACCCGCTACCCCATGAGACCTTAGCTAACCGCGCTTTTCCCAATTCGCTTTCTACTGAACCATTGAAATGGTCCTGGAGGAATCAGGCTCCACACGTACTGCCACATCGGTAACGGAACTACAACCTCAGGTCGCATTGGTTTAACACCGACTTTGGACCCTTAGCTAATCCGGGTTTGGTCCTGAACCAAGGGTCCACGCCCCTGTAACCCCCCTTACCATTCAAGTGAAAGCTAGTCGCTCCTTCTGACTGATCGGCTTCTTTGCAGGAGGAAACCGGGCTCCGCACGTACTGCCACATCGGCACCGGCAACTACAACCCGAGGACCGCATCGGTCTACACCGACTTCGGACTCTTCACGTGCGACCCCGCGTTGGGTCAGGACGTCGCCGATCTGTTCAAGTACCTGACCGGATACCATCGCCAGAAGTCGTACCGCAAGCTGCTGGTGGCGCCGGGGACGATGCGGCGCGAATTTGTGCGCCTGATTGACAGGTGGGCGGCAATTTTATTTCTTTGTTCTCTAGTGCATGGTTCGGATTTGCTTGGTCGTTTCTTTCATTTATGAAGGACCCGTCTTTTCTGTTCTCATGTGCGGCTGATCGACAGGCGCTTAGTGATATCTCTGTTGCATCGTTTTCCCTGGTGGTTTTTTTGAAAGGTGGTCGGTGGCATTCTTTTTCGCTGAAGGTGTTGTGCTGTTTCTCGGCTCTATGGTGCAGCTGATTGACAGGTGCCTAAGTGCTTGTGCCCGCGTGTGCATTGAACCGCTTTGTTGCCTGCGGGCTTTGCATTCTCTCCCTTCATTCTTCTCAAATCAAACGGACCTTTTCAATCCACCTCCTGACTCTTCGCATGGTCTTACCCCTTGCAGACAGATCACGAAAGCGCGCAGCTGTTCGGAAGTCTGAATTCCTGACCCCATCGCTGACCCCCGAGAACGTGTCCGTGGGCCTGCATGGCTCACGCTTACCCTGGACTGTGATTATAACCCCGGCATAGTGGTGCTATAACACCTCCTGCTTAAGTTTACACTCGGGCAGTGATTCCAACCCCGCTTTGACATCCGCTCCACCTTCTTTTGCTTTCTGACATCCGCTTTCTCTCCAAAACAGAGAGATTGAGAAAACGCGCGCGGGCCTGCCGTCGCGCATGGTGGTCAAGTGCAACGGGCGTATCCACGTTATCACCAAACCTGATCCGAACTTTCCTAATCTTACTCCTAACCTACTGCTAAACCATCTTGCCACAGAGAGATTGAGAATGCGTGCGCGGTCCTGCCTACCGGCATAATAGCCAGTGCAATGGGCTTTTACGATTGATTTGCAAAACCGATCCTAAACTTGTGTCTAACTTGTTTCTAACCATGATTTGCGACAGAGAGATCGAGGACGCGCGCGCGGGCTAGCTGCCATCCGGCATGGTGGTCAAACGCACTAGTTGTCTCGTTCTCCTCAATTCCTG